CTCTCTCTCTCTCTCTCTCTCTCTCTCTCTCACACACACACACACACACACACACACACACACACACACACACACACACACAATCAGTTTTATGTAAGTTTGTCTTCCCCCGATCGTTTGTCATTTCTCTGATTTTTTCTAAGTAGTTTGTTGTGTGCCCAACCGAGCACCCTTAAGTAGTGCCAAACAGTCGATGGTTCCTCGTTTGGAGTGCCTACTGCACTCTTATGGGGGCCGGTCGGTTCGGGATGTCTGTGTTGCCTATGGGTGATGTCGGATGTTCGTTGGAGTGACTCCCTGGCTCAGAGAGTGGTGGGAACCAACAGTCTGCGGGGTTCAATCGTGATGTGAGTAGGTCATGTGCTGCTTTGCTCCGTGTTGGATGCGTGGACCTCCTCGTCTGCGCTCCGCCGCTGCCCTGCTGCCTGTCCCGCTTGCTTCGCATGTGGTTCTTTGCAGGTTGAGGTGTTCACTGTGCGGTGTGGCTGTGTTGTTGGCGTTGCCTTGCGCTTCACTGCTCCGCTGCCTTGCTGCCCTTCCGCTGGTCATTCCTTCTGTGTTTGCTGCTTGCGGGCTTTGTTGGATGACTGCCGTGTTGCTGATGCCTTGTGCTTCACTCCACGGTTGCCAAGTTGCTGGTCCGCTTGCCCTGTCGCCCCTTGCAGTGTGGTTGCCTTGTTGTGTTGTCTTGTGCTTCACGACACGGCTGCCGTGCTGCATGTCCTGCGTGCCATGTAGTTCCTTGTAGTCGTTTTTGGCGTTGTGCAGCTGTGTTGCCTCTACTGTGCTGCCTGGTGCTCCACAGGGTTGCTGCCCGCTGCTATGTTCCGCTTGGGGACAGTCTGCCTTCAACAAGGGTCGAGGGTTCAGCCTCCTGACGAGGGTTCATGACCCAAAACCATCAAATACGGAGATTGCACAGATTGTCGAGGGTTCAGCCTCCTGATGAGTCGGTGCAGCTCTGACAAAACAATCTTTTATCATCTGTTTATTTTTTTCAGTCTTTGCTCTGTTTATACTTGTATTTTTTTCGGGTGTTGTTTTTGCATTGTTGTCATTTGTCTTGCTGTTGTTTCCCTCGCTGCCTTACGCTGTTTGCTTGCCCATCCGTCTACCCCATGCCTTTCACCCAGTGTGATAACCCGTC